AAATATTTTGATAGGATCTTACTAAATCACTCAGTTGCCCAGGCTGGGTCCAAATTTGAGATCCTCCTGTCTCAGCCTCAGTGTGCTGGGATTACAGGTGTGTGTCACCACATCTAGTGAAGTGGAACTTTTAAATTGAACCATTTGCTATCTGCATGGCCACAAGCAAATAACTTGAACCCTTGGAATCTCACTTTCCTTCTCCATGCAATAGGCTTGATGGTACCAATAGACACACTTGTGGGAAGTGAATACAAGGACGCTGTAGAGGGGCTCTGCAAATTGAGAAGCACCTGGACAAGAGTCATTCTCTCTAGGGTACTGTTGTGTGTCTGTTGGGCTGACTACTCTTATGGGCCCATTTAACAGAGGAGGAAGCTGGCATCAAACGAAGTAGCTCACCTTAGGCCACGCTAGTTTATCATTGACAAAGCCAAGAACTGCACCTTGACCATCTCCCGCAAAGCCCACAGTCTTAATCCGTAGGCAGTCGTGTTCCCTGTGTGAAGATGCGTTTGGAGCAGCAATTTTGTTCTGTGAGCGGCAGTGTCAGGCACTTTCATGGGTTTTGTAGCTCAGCATCCACTGGCAGAGCCAGGCCCCTGAGTTGTGAGAAAGTTTGGGGAAAGGTGATTGGGTGTCGGGGAGGAAAGCACTTTGGGTGGGCCGAAGTTTCCAAAGCCTTCCTGAGCTTCTCTGAACACTGTGGTAAGTGTCAAAAGCCATGGAACCCTGAATTCTTAAAGGCACTGAGGCAGATGCCTGTGTGCTCTGACAGACCGAATGTAGGAGGAGAGACCTTAATCAATCCGCAAGGTTTTGTAAGCCTGCTCTGCAGTGTGGCTCCTGAGCTGTGACAGCCAGAGTTTAACAAAGGTACTGAGCACACCAAAGCCCACAAGAGAGAGCTCTGGAGTGAGTGCACATACACAAGTGAGGCTCTGGGTTATTCTTCAAGGTCCTTAGCAAATCTGAACACATTCCTAGAGGATCATCTCTTCCTTCCAATTCGTGTGCGCGTGGATAATTTTTACCTGGACGGATTGGTTGGGGAAAGGTCGCAGTGGTTCCGATGCTGAAATGACTCCCTTCCACCAACCAGGACAGACACGGAAGTCAATCATATCAGCAGCGCATTTTTTGTTTTTGTTTCCTGGTGTCAGGGAAATTCCAAACAGGGACGCTAAGCACACGCTGTGCCACTCACCACTGAGCAACACCCTAGATCCAGCAGTGTGTTTAGAAGTAGAATTGCAAGTTCAAATCCTACCTGGTCTTGCAATTTAGCAAGATCCTGTCTGAAAATATAAAAGGCTGGGGATGTTGCTCAGTGGTAGATCACCCTTGGATTGATCTCCACTGAGGGCAGGGGGGTGCAGAGGAACAGGGAGAGGAAGGAAGAGGAAAGGAAGGGAGGAAGGGGAGGGGTGAGAGAGGGGAGGGAAGTTCTCGTGCCGGTGGCTGAAAGTGACGGTGCAGTGTCTGAGGCAGAGCTTGCCCCTGAGTGTCACCCAAGTGACTTAGACCTGGGTTTTGTCATCTGCACTTTTGGGATGTGTAGAGTTTGAGGTTGCTTCTTAGGTCTCTCTGTAAGGTTGGCACTGTGATGGGCGGGGAGAGGGTGTTGAGGGAAAGGAGTGGCCACCAGAATTTTCTGTCAGATTTATCACTCCCTGAGCTGGGGAGATGGCCCCGGGGAGATGGTTTCCTGGACAGAGAGCAGGGGAGGAAAGATAAAGAGCAACATCAGCTCCTGTTTGTGAATTTACTTATCAGAACCCCCTGCACCATGAGTACCGTTCCCATGTGTGTGGAGAATTTAGGTGTCTGTGGCCCCCTCTGTTCACTGCCCCATCCCAAACTCGCCCCAGCATGAGTTACCGTGCACCTCCGGGTCCTCACACACCGAAATACTCAGGCTTTTCTTTTTTTTTTTGGTACTGGGGATCGAACTTGGGACCTTATGCTTGCAAGACATGCGGCAGAACCACTGAGCTAAATCCCCTGCCCTCAGGTTTCTTGGATGAATGAACCATCTCCTCCTCTCACTGGATAATTTGTTCTACTTTTCCCATCCAGAAAGAAGACCTCCAAATGTATTTTAAATACCATAAGAACCTGCCCCGAGCCAGGGCAATCTGGCAAGAATGTCAGGACTGCGCCTACTTTGGGGTAAGGTTGAGCTTGAGCTTACGAAGCCTCCCAGTTGTTCCCCCTGGAAAATGTCTTTGCGCCTTAAATTCTTGAAGAAACCAAAAATCTGAGCTAGGCACAGCAATTTGGCAAGCAGACTCCTGTCCATTTGATCCTTTTTTTTTTTTTTTTTTTTTTTTTTTTTTTTGGGGATA